TAAAAGCCAAATGTAATCCATTGGAGTTGCCTTTACCAGGAAAAATAGTGAGAGGACGACAAAAATCTCAGTCCAGTAGGAGTGGCCAGCATCAAGGACTTAAAAGATGCAGGGGTGGTGGTTTCCTCTGCATCTCCCTTTTACTCTCCTAACTGGTCAGTGCAGAAAAAAGATGTGTCTTGGTGTTGACACATCACAAGTTATTGGTAATGACTCTGATTGCAGCTGCTATACCAGACATTGTGTCCTGATTTGAGCAAATTAACACATCTCCTGGTACATGGTATATATCTATTTGTCTAGCAAATGCCTTTTTCTTGGTGCCTGTCAATAAGGACCACCAGAAGCAATTTGCTTTCAGTTGTAAAGACCAGCAGTATAAATTTACAGTTCAATCTCAAGGATATATTAACTCACCTGTCTTGTGTCATTACTTAGAAGGGACTTTCCATAAAATATCACATTGGTGTAATAACACATACACATATCAGAGGATGGGAAACAAATTCAACCAAAATTCAAGGGCCTTCTACCTCAGTGAAGTTTTTAGAGCTGCATAGTGTGAAGCACACAGAAATATTCCTTCGAAGGTGAAGGGTACGTTTTTGCACCTGGCCCCTCCCACCACCAAGAAAGAAGCACAGTGTTTAGTGGGTCTATTTGGATTCTGGAGACAGCACATTCCTCACCTGAATGTGTTACTCTTGCCCATATAGCAAGTGACTCAGAGAGTGGCTAGCTTTGAGTGGGGCCTGGAACAGGAGAAGACTCTTCAACAAGTCCAGGCTGCTTAGAAGGCTGCTCTACCTCATGGGCCATATGATGCAACATACCTAATGATACTTGAGATGTCAGCGGCCAATAAGGATGCTGTTTGGAGCCTTTGGCAGGGCCATATGTGAGAACTACGGAAGGCACCTTTGAGATATTGGAGCAAGGTTCTACCATTATCTTTAGGCAACTATTTTATCTTTGAGAGACAGATCTTGGCCTGCTAATGGACTTTAGTGGAAACGGAACATTTGACAATAGGCCACCAAGTTACCATGGAAACTGAGCTACCCATCATGAGCTTGGTGACCCACTAAGCCATGAAGTAAAATATTCGCAGCAATGATCTATTATCAAATGGAATTGGATATATGTGATCAAGCCTGAGCAGGTTCTTTTTTTTTTTTAAAGATTTATTTATTCATTATATATATAGGATTCTTCTTACATGTGTCCCTGCAGGCCAGAAGAGGGCACCAGATCTTTTTACTTTATGCCTAGTTTATTTTCTTTTTTAAAAAATTTATTATTGTTTTTAAAAGAAAACAAACTATCTTTTTTTCATTTTACATATCAAACCCAGTTCCCACTCCCTCCCTTCCTCTTATTCCCTTTACCTACCTCCCATCCCTCCCCCCATCCAGTCTTCAGAGAGGGTAAGGCACATTGCTTTGGGGAACGTCCAAGGCCCGCCCTACTATATCTAGGCTGAGCAAGCTATCCATCCAAAGAGAATAGGTTCCCAAAAAGCCAGTACAAGCAGTAGGGATAAATCCTGGTGCCACTACCAGTGGCCCTGCAGTCTGCTTCAGCCATACAATGTCAACCACATTCAGAGGGACTAGTTTGGTCCTAAGCTGGTTCCTTCCCTGTCAGGTTGGAGTTGGTGAGCTCCCATTAGCTCAGGTAGACTGTTTCAGTGGGTGTCCCCATCATGGTCTTAACCTCTTTGCTCATATTCTCACTCCTCCCACTCTTCAACTGGACTTTGGGAGCTCAGTCCAGTGCTCTGCGCCTCTGTTTCCATCAGTTGCTGCATGAGAAGATATTCATCAGTCTGATACAGGGCAGGGCCAGTTTGGTCATCTCTCTTCTATTGCTTAGCCCCCCCCCCCCATGGTTCCAGTTTTGTCAGGTAATCTTAACTATTTTCCCTTTCCGGGTCGATCTATGTATGCTTTTCTTAGGGTTCACCATGTTACTTAGCTTCTCTAGGATCATGAACTATAGGCTCAATATCCTTTGCTTCACAAATAGTATTCACTTATGAATGAGTACATACCATGTTCATCTTTCTGGCACCAGACCTTATTACATATTGTTGTGAGCCACCATGTGATTACTGGAAATTGAACTCAGGACCTCTGGAAGAGTAGTTAGTGCTCTTAACCTCTGATCCATCTCTCCAGGTCCCTGAGCAGGTTCTGATGGCACAAGTAAATAACAGGAAGAAGTTTCCCAAATGCCTGTGGTTCCCACTCCCGTTACAATGCTCCCTGCTCCCAAGTATGTACATATATCCTCCTGGGGTGTGACCTGATCAGTTGACTAAGGAAGAGAAGACCAGGGCCCGATTTTCCAATGGTTCTACACATTAAGCAGGCACCACCCAGAAGTAGACAGCTGTAGCACTGCAACCTCTTTCTGGGACAATCCTGAAGGCCCCAGAAAAGGGAAATCTCAGTTGAAAAAAACTTCGGGCTTTGTCATATATTTTGTTTTGAATGAGAAATATCTGGATGTGTGATGGTTCACTGGTTCATGAGTTGTATGAACTAGATGTCAGGGATTGGAATGATGATGGTTGGAAACTTTGTGAGAAGGATATCTGGCAAGGAAGGATGTGGATAGATCTCCTCAAACGGATGAAGGTTGTAAAGATTCTTGTGTCCTAAGTAAATGCCCATCAAAAAGTGACTTCAGAGGGTACGGTTTCAATAACCAAGTAGATGGGATGGTCCAGTCTATGACTAGTTAGCTTCTCTGCCCTTCCATCCTTGTCATTACCCAAAGATCCCCTTAACAAAGTGGCTGTGGTGGCAGAGATGGGGGTGACACATGAACTTGAAAACATGGACTGCTACTCACTAAGGCTGACTTGAACACAGCTTCTGCTGGGTACCAGATTTGCCAAAGGCAAAGAACAACACTGTGCCCCAGATATGGCACCATTCCCCAGGATGAGCAGCTATCGAACTGGTGGCAGGTTGACCACATTGAACAACTTCCTCTCAAGAGAAAGGACAGTGCTTTGCCTTTCTGTCTCCTTCGTGCAATACTTCTGCCAAACCACCATCTGCGAACCCAAGGAATGCCTTATCCATCACCCTCATGGGTGATGCTTCTAACAAAAGAGCTTACTTCACAACCAGAGAAGTGGGAGAGTGGGCCTATGATCATATAATCTACTGGTCTTAATAGAGTCTCAGCAGCCTGAAGCAGCTTGCCTAACAGAATGATAGAATGAGCTTTTGAAAACACAGTTATAGCACAGATTAGGTGGGTCAAGAGCCTTCAGAAGGTGGTATATTCTTTGAATCAGCAGCAGATATATGGTACAGTCTCTCCCATAGCCAGGATCTATAGGGTTCAGGGATCACATGGTGGAAAAAGGAATTGTTCCACTCACTTTGACCCCTAGTGACCCACTAGCAAAATTTTGCTTTTTATCCCCATGACCTTAAGTTCTGGTGGCCTAGCAGTTTTGGTTTCAGAAGGAAGAATGCTCCTGTCAGGAGACTCAACAGCATTCCATTGAACTGGAAGCTCAGACTATGCCCTGGCTGCCCTTAACCCTACAGACTAAGAAAGGAATAACAGTGTTAAGAGTGATGACTGATTCAGATTACCAAGGGAAATTTGAGTTGCTTCTCCGCAATGGAGGTAAGAAAAATTACGTCTGGAATGCAGAAGATCCTTGTGGGGGTCTTTGACTAGTGTCGAGGAGAAGTTGCAACAACTAATTCAGGCAGGATGACAGTGAAAACAGGCCCTTCAGGAATGAGGATATGGATCAATCTTCTAGGAAAAGTGCCAAGACTTCCAAAGGTTTGCTGAGGGTAGAGGAAATACCAGAAAGGGTAGTAGGCAAAAACAGCTATAAATATAAAGGCCATGGGACCAGTTGAAGAAATGAGAATTACAATTGCTGTGATATTTTGTTAAGAATGTATTTTTGCAGATATTTGTGTTTTCTTTCTTGATTTCTTTATATGAACTATAACATCAATTAATAAATATTAGTGGTTTTTAAGTTTTCATATTCATGTTTTTAGATACTAAAAGAACATCCTTCAAGAAACATTCCCACCTATCCTAAAATTTAGAATGTGTTTGCAGTTGTGTGAGGTATTAAAGCATGTTAGGCCAAATTATGATCTGGTTAAGTATATAATGTGTTTGTGGTTGTTGGTGGGAAAGTTATACCATGTGAGGCATAATTATAACCCGGTTATTGGTTTCATTTCGAAATTAAGCATGACATAGGAGATGTGACTGTTTGTCAGATTAACAAGGAATGGACTCATGTAGGCTATTCTTCCTTGTCAGCCTCACTACATCTAGAATCAAATAAAACCCAAAGTGCTGGGTATACCTGTGAGGAAATTTTCTTAATTAAATCATTTGAAGTAGCGGAGGAATGTTTCTTAATTAAGTCATTTGAAGTAGCTAGACTTACCTTTAATCAGGGTCATACCTTCTGGTGCCATCGTATATGAAGAACATGGAAGAAGGAAGCTTTTGTTCTTTGTCTGCTTGCCCTCGCCCTCACTAGCAAGTGCATTCCTTCACTGCATCAGAGCCTACTTCTTCAGGATTCTGGCACATGCTCAAGACCAGCTGGGACACCCAGCCTGGTGGACTGAAACAACTACTGTGTTTCTGGACTTTCCACTGGTAGACAGCCATTGTTGAACTGGACTACAGCCTGAATGCCATTCTAATTAATCCCCTTTATATAATATGTATCTATTTGTAACATTTACACATATGTGTTTGTTTTCATTTGGAAATTTGGATTTTTGATGACTAAATGTATGTTCCATGGATAGATAGACAGACAGACAGACAGACAGACAGACAGATGATATAGATTCACACTGTCAGTTCTATAGAGCTGTGACTAATTCAGTGTGGAGGAGCCTATTTTAGAAGATGGAGCAGGTTTGTGTTCATGTATTGAGCTCTGCAAAATTGCCTGGCTCTGATTTCTTTTTCTTTCATGGTAGGTGTTTTCATAGGAGTTACCATTTCTGGATTTTGGGATTATAATGAAACCAAATGGTATGACCTGACAGAAAACATCTATTCACATCTTAAAGACGGTAATTTTTCTGGCTGTGTTTATCCTCATATTTCATTTATTTTGAAACTCATTCAGTATTTATGAAATGTCTTTCTAAAAAACTCACTGTTTCTAACCTATGATGTGATTTGATTTCTTCCTTCAGAACATAAAGGACTGACATTGATAGATATGGTGTTAACAAATCATTTTTTAGTAATCCTTACCTCTTTGGGTCTTTTTGTAAGTAGTGATCTTCGTTATCCAGTCTCTACAGGAATACAGGTATGAAAATTTCTTTGTAACCTATTGATAACTCTTAATATCTTCTGTGGCATAAAAAGAAACAGTTTTTAATTGATTTATGAATAGTATATCCTAGAACTAAAAATTAAAAAGACTCAAAGTATGATAACACATCTTTTTCCTTTGCTTCATAGCATTTGAAGTATAAGTAAAAGTGGCATTAGTTTTATTGCTGGACCATCCCTAGTAGATTCTAAACAAATGCAATAGGAAAGACATCATCTTTCTATCTACTTGTCTATTTATTTATTGCATGATGTGTTTCTAAAATGCTATAAGGCAATTCTTATAGCTAAATGTTATATTAAAATGAACAGAAATTAAATGTTGTCGAAGAAATAATATCTAAGATGATAGAGATGCCAACTCTCCTGATAAGACAATTACACACTGTACAAGTGTATTGAAATGTCTGCTATCTCCATATATGTGCAACATTACAAGTAAATAAAAACCAAAGGAGACCCTTCATAAACCGGGAACCAATCCTGTTGAGAAATTCTGTGATAGGGCAACTGATTTATTCTACCAAGAGGTGAGGAAAAGTGAAGTTGAGACTCTTCATCCAGGTCTAACTACAGAGATTAGAAAGTTTCCTCAGGCAGAAAGACAGAGAAAGAAAATAGAAGACAACATAACTCTGGGACAAAGAGAAGAGAAATAGTCACTGAGATGGAGCTATATACATACAATGATGTTCCATCAAGAGACTGATGAGAAGCCACAGTATCCTTCGGGGGCCATATATCTGCTGATATACAAAAGAAACCCGTGTGTGTGTGTGTGTGTGTGTGTGTGTGTGTGTGTTACAGTTTAAAATAAAAAGGTTTGTTACACCTTCTGAAAAGCAACTAAATTTTTAACTTTTTTTTCTTCCTCTTCCTTCTCCTTTTCTTCCTCCTCCAGCTTTCAAGAGCAGACTTTTGTGGTTTTGAAAGGGTAAGACTTTTGATTTCCTACAATTCACTTGGCAACTTGGAAAGCAATAATTCAAAGTCTACATGTTTCTTGCTACCATAAAATTATCTTCAGTTTAAACTAAAAGCATATTTTCCATAATTATTAGACCCTTCTAATTTTGGCAGCCATTCTTTTTTTCTGGTGGGTTCTCTCTTGGCTTGTGGAGATTGCTCAGGCATGCTGTGCACAGAGATGCCCCATTGGGAAGGGTGATACCTGGAATCTGGCAAAAGTTTTACTTCCCAATCCACCTGTCCTGTATCTACCCAGAAAAAGGAGCACTTCCATTTTGGACAAAACCTGCCATTAGAAATGACCACAACTCCATTTATGTCCTCTTGGGGCACCTTTTCCTCTGTTAGTTTGCTTCCTTCTCTGTTGCAAAATCAGTCTGTCACATTCAAGAAGGCACTCTCAACACATGAACATGCACTGTCAGTTTTGAAACTGCAAGGAAAATTCTCCATATTCGTTCTCAGGCCTTGGCATGTCCCCTTCCATTCTGTCCTGTGTTGTACACAGTCACTACAAGTAAGAAACCACACCTAGTTCTCCGGAACCAAACACAAGTAATTATAATATCAAAGTATTGGTGGGAGGAAAAGTGAAGCAGAGAACTGGGAAATCAGGAGAGAAAACAAATGCATGATGGAAGGAACAAATGGAAATACTTTACCTCTTCTCTCAAATCCACGTGCTCAGATTTGGCCAACTGCCAATCAAAAATGTTAGTGTGCTAGAGATGTAACTCAATGGTAGAGTCTTTGCCCTGCGTGCTCAGGCTCTGGGTTCACTTCCCAGCAACACCAACATGTTCAATGGATACAAACATTTACTTGTTGTTTTACTGAAGTGGAGTATGGAAGTTATTTTCCCAAACTAGGTTACTCTGTATAAACAATAGAATACGGACTAAAATAATGAGATCATGGCTCATGGCAACACAGGGCAGCAAAGGAAAGGCAAGTAGAGGATCCTGCAAAGAGAGCCGACCCTCAGAGCTCACTCGAGGAATAGTTTTTCTCATCAGTGAGGGTGGCTTTGAGGAAGCAGAGAGAAGACTGCTAGAAGGGGGAGCTGAGCTTTCCCAGAGCCTGAAGTGACAGGCTGAAGGACTCCTTCAGGGGAAGAATGCTTCCATGGTGACATTAACTGCATGGAAACAGCGACTCAGAGGAGCAGGGAGCACTGCGCTATCTTCCCTCAGTCAGGCATTGCCAGAGTCGATGTGTTCTAAAAACCGAGGTCATCTGAGGTCCCAATGGAACACAGTCATTAAAAACAGGAGATGTTCAAGAACGCTAGTGGTGAAGAGGGGGACTGTACTAGAGCTGCAAAAATTAGCTAATAAAATCATGGGCATTCACTGAGCTACTACCATGATCATTGTCATTGACCCTGAGATAGTAAAAGAAAAAAAAAAGCAGGGTGTGGTGGTGCACATCTTTAATCCCAGCATTTGGGAAGCAGAGGCAAGCAAGATCTCTGTGAGTTCAAAGCCAGGCTGGTCTACATGATGAGTACCAGGACTGCCAGGACTGAAATACTATCTCAAAACAAACAAACAAACAAACAAACAAGAAGACACAGAAGAAAGGAAAAGAAAAAGAAAGAAAAAAAAGAAAAGAGAGGCAATCAAGATGGATTTAGGAGTTTACACAGCACAGAAACACTTTCTGGGGCTTCCTTCCACAATTGTAATTAAAAGGAAAATAAAATGAAGGATGGCATAGCCATTGAGTGGATGTAGACTAGTGCCACAACAGAAGTTAAGATGAAGAAACATTTCTAAATGTTTGGAGGAAATTAAAGAGAATGCGTGTTTCAACTAAGCAGAAGGCAAAAAGATGAAGAAAACAGTGATGAGCACTGGCTGGCTGGTGAGGGCCCAATCCCTGGTTCACAGACAGCTGTCTCCTCCCTGTGCCCTTAATTGACAGAAGGGCTGGGGCTACATCTCTGGATTCTCTCCTGTAAGGGTGCTGATTTCACCTCTCCAGGCTCCTTCAGAGTAGGAAAGGCATCAGACTCTTCTACCTAATCACCTCCCGGAGGCTTGCCTCCAAACAGCCTCCTGAAGACAGATGACAGAAACCAAATACAACTGGTCTCAACAAAAGAGAGAAAGCTGTTGGCTCTTTTAAATCATAGGGGGTTTTCTTTTCTTTCAGAGTTTGCTTTATCTGTTTATTTTTTATTATTTACATTCCAACCACAGTTGCCCCTCCCACGCCTCCTCCTGCCCCTCCTAGCCTTCTCACCCCAGCTCACTCCCCATCCATTCCTCCCATGGGGAGTCAACCAAACCTGGCACATTAAGTTGGGGTAGGACCAAGCCCCTCCCCTCTGCATTATGGCTGAGCATGGCATTCCACTATAGGGAATGGGCTTCAATAAGGTAGCACATGCATCAGAGCTAGATCCTGGTCCCACTGCCAGGGCCCCCTCAGATAGACCAAGCTCCACAACTGTCTCCCACATGCAGAGGGCCCAGGTCAGTCCCCTGGAAGCTCCGCAGCTGTTGCTCTAGAGTTCATGAGTTTCCACGAGCTTGGTTCAGCTGTCTCTGTAGATTTCCCCTTCACGATCTTAATCTCACTTGCTCATATAGTCACTCTTCGCTCTTTTTGACTGGATTCCTGGAGTTTGATCCCAGATGTGGATCTCTGTATCTGGTTCCATCACTTACTGGATCAAGGCTCTAGGATGACAGGGTATGCACCTATCTGATTACAGGGGAAGGCCAGTGCAGGTACCCTTTCCACTATTGCTAGGAGTCTTAGCTGGGGTCATCCTTGTGGATTCTGGGGATTTCACTGGCAACAGGTTTCTCCCTAACCCCATAGTGGCTCTCTCTATCAAGATATCTTTTTCATTGTTCTCCGTCTGCTCCTCTCCCACTTCTACCATCTCATTGTTCCTTCATGTTCTTATCCCTCTCCCCTTGACTGCCCTCCTCTCCCTCAGTTTCACCAAGAGTTCTCATCTAATTCCCCTTCCCAGGCCTATCCATGTTATTCTCTTAGGAATCATAGGAATTTGAAGGGTGAGACTGACTTCCGGCTGGATTTCCTTGAATAGCAGGTGTCCAAGGGGCTCTGTCCTCAGATTTGGGTGTGCTGTCCTTTACACTAGTAACTGTACTCTAAGTAACTGTTCCTCAGCCCTTGGTAAAAATAGCTGCCAGGTGGCTTGTAGCCACCGTTTTGCCTGTCCCAAAGGAATAAATTCTTTCCATCATCTCTAAGGTTGATTTTTCATTGCTCATGTGATCCAAGTCATGTGTTCCTTCTTAACCTGTGACTCTGGATCAGAACAGCATTCTGGACTCATCTTTGGTATGAGATCAGCCTCATATGAGTTAAATCATCCCTAAGGACAATCAATCAACTGTTTCAGTATGGATTTATGTAGGAAAAAAATTCATCAATTAGTCTAAACAGAAGGAAGAGGCATAGTTCATTGCCCAAAAAGATTCAGTATTAAAATTGTCAAGATTAATAATGATAAGTATGGTACCCTAAAATCTGGAGGCTTTTGTGAGAAATCAAAGTTTTATTTTAACAGCTTAATTTGAGTGATAATATAGCATAATTCAAAAAAGGCATTGGTCATTCACTCTTAAAAAGCCTTATGATTTGCTTAGCGTTTTACCAAGGTAAAATTTGTATGGTAACACCTTTATCTTTTTAACATGCTCAGTTCTATGGTATTTTGTATCAACCACCACCATGATCAATTTCAGGACACTTTTTAAAATTGATTTTATTGAGCTACACATTTTTTTTCTGCTCCTCTCCCTTCTTCTCCCCTCCCCTTCAGCCCTCTTCCATGGTCTCCATGCTCCCAATTTACTTATGAAATCTTGTCTTTTTCTACCTCTCATGTACATTAAATCCATGTCTGTCTCTCTTAGGGTCCTCCTTGTTGTCTAGGCTCTCTGGGATTGTGAATTGTAGGCTAGTTTTCTTTGTTTTATGTTTAAAAATCACTTATGAGTGAGTACATATATTTGTCTTTCTGAGTCTTGGTTACCTCACTCAATATGATCTTTTCTAGATCCAATTATTTCCTTCAAATTTCAAGATGTCATTATTTTTTTTTTGGTTTCCATCAACAATGTATGTCAATTTTATCACTGACATATCTATAAAAATATAAGGTTTTCTTTGTCTCAATAGCAGCTGGAAACTCAAAATCTTCCTCTAACAAAGCTTCTCACCTTATTATACATACTATCCAACAGAAATATTCTTATTTGTCACCACTTCTCTATGATCAACTTGCAAAGCCTTTATATTGCTGCTACTTGTCATTATCTGCCTGTTGTCTAGACTCCTTATGCCCTGTTACAGCAAGTGTGGAATTAAAAAATAAGTGTATGCCCCAATCTAACAGCGGTGAAGGTTTAAGGATCTTCTGGGGATTTGGAAAGACACTTCATAACCAAGAACATCATCAGGCCTTTGCATTTCTTTTCTGGCGACTCAACAATGTGCATTCTGGTGTCTCAACCCCATTCTGCAACCTCTTACAGGCGGAGTTTTCTGTCTTTATTTCCTCACGTCCACTAATGATCAAAACTTTGGAATGTTTAAAGTAAGTTGCTTTCTTAACTCCAGATATGACCTAGTTGACATTTTCATTTATGTATTTATATAGGTTGACTATGTCAAAGGAAAACTGTGGTATAACGAAAAATGTTTTGCAAACAGAGAAGATTTTGAAGGTAAATTTTAAAACATCTTAACAGACTTTTATTACTATAGATTATATATAGCTTAAAATGCATTAAACCCCCAAATGAATAAAATGTGAAGATAACTATTCTGTATGAATTAATGACCTCGAAATGAGGAGCAGGCTCAGTAGGGGTATGTATTTGCTGTTGGTTTAACACCCAGGGGGCAGAAACAGGAACACTGTAGGCTTGAGGCTCCCCTGGGCTTCACACTGACAGCTTCTCTTAAATGAGGGGGAGTGAACGCCTGCCTAATCGCAAGAGAACTGTGTCCAGAGATGCATTAATAGATGACACATAACTGGCATTGGACTCTGTCAAGGCAACGCCATTAACACTAACACTTCCTAAGTCTACAGTGTAGATGCTGTTCGTAATCTCTGCTCCTTTGTGCTTTCCAGCTGATTATGTTACCATCACTTTCGACAGAAACATGACCCTGAGTGAGGTATGATATAGAAAACTTTCAAAGGTAGGAAATTTTGTTAAACATGAGTGTAAGAATTGTTGTTAATCTAAAATATGATGTCTAAGCACACAGAGAAACTTAACCACCCCAGGGGTGTCTCCTTGTAGGCTCAACAGCAGACACTTACTTTGTTAAAGCCAAGTAATCCACGCCAGAGAAGAATGTTTCTTTGAAGTGCCTTCTGAAATTGATCCACCGAGAAGAAAAGGATAAATATTAAAGAATTAAACCTATGATCTGGGAGCCAGATGTGGTGACACACAGCTGTAATTCTAGTAATCAGTAGGTGAAGGCAGAAAAATCACAAATTCAGTGTGAATTTAGATTATGTATTCTAGGCCATCCTAGGTTCACATAGTAAGAACATGTCCTAAATGATCACTGTATTCGTGTGTGTGTGTGTGTGTGTGTGTGTGTGTGTGAGAGAGAGAGAGAGAGAGAGAGAGAGAGAGAGAGAGGAGAAAGAGAGATTGACTGATTTATATGTGGCCTGTCAGAACAGCAGAATGATTTATTCACTTATTTTCCTACAGCAACTATTTGGGATTTGTGTTTCAGAAACAACGTTAACTCTTCTTTATTTGTAGTCCAGTTCTTGTTTTTATAGTAAAGAACCATTTCTTCAGTGGTTGCCTTGCTTATCTTCTCCTTTTAAAACTGCAAGATTTCTTCCACATGTGATATCATTTCTTATTGACCAAGAAAGTGGTACTGGAATTTATCTCTTCCATACTCGGGTAAGTCTTATCGTTCAATTACCAAGCACTGCAAATTGATCTTAGCAGACATCATTTCCAATTTGTTGGGATCTTAGACATAGAGAATGACAAGATTATTTATGATCCATAGAATAGTTTGGATCCGTTTTTTTAAAATTGTTTGTCATTCGAGCTGATGAAAATTAAAGTCATGATGCTGGCTGCTTTCTTGTTGTTCTTTACTCATTTTTCCAGGGGAACATGATGAATATTTTCCATATAAATCTAACATTCCTGGAAAGGGTTTCTTTCAATGAACAACAACAAGAAAAGGGATCCCATTGCCACAGATATATATTTTCTGTTGTAGAGGCCCTTAACCGTGGCTCTTAATTAGAATTATTCTCGGAGCCCTTAGAAAAGTTAGGGCTCTCTAAGTGGCTGTTCAGCACTCACTCCTAAGTACAACATATACATCACCCTCCTGCAGCCCATGTACAAATAAAATAAGTTAATTTTTCTGTTGAACTTTTTTTAAGGCCAGGACTCACTAGGTAGTACTGGGTATCCTCGAGCTCACAGTGTTCTGCCTGCTTCTAAATCTGAGTGCTAGCACTGAAGGCATGTGCTGCCATGCCTGCCGATGCTGAACATAACTGATATTTTCCTGGAAAAAAAAACCCATTACTGTTTTCATAGACAGACGTCAAGAGGACAACAGGAGAGGAGAAGGTGATAGTGTCAGACCATGTAGGTATCTCTCTCAGAGCATGCGACTCCCCTGGAAAAGGGATTTAGGATAGATCTTATTTGCTGTTTGTTTTCTGAGAGTAGATCTGCTGTGAAAAGAAATGACTGACAGTCTCATTTTCAAGAATTTTCTGCTGTTAGGCCAACAAGGGAAGAACTAAGACAGGCTCCCCCTTGAATTGGTGAAAGCCTTTAACATTATCGTTACACCAAGATGACATTTATGGGGTGTCAGAGTCTTGTTCCTTTCAAGGCTGTGACTCAATAGAACTGGGATTTTTGTCAGGTGCCCACACGTAACATGAAAGGCATGAGCAGACACTGGAGTCTGTCTGATTATTTTAGTAACAACTCACAAACTTCTCGATACTGTTCATTGTACAACTTTGAACAAATTCCTTAGTTTCCTACACTACATCTCAGCATCTTTAAAATGTACAGGTAAGGATAGTGGAGTAGAGTTACCAGTGACTGCTCATCTGTCCAGTTCTTTGCAGTGATAACAGGAATGCTCCTGTCTTAATTAAAACTGAAAAACAAGAAAGTCTAGAAATTATACCATGGGCAAAAAAATCATGGACTAAATCTTATGACTTCCTTGTGTTTTATCTAGAGTTCCAAAAGAACCTTTGTTTCTGTGTCAGTGTTCAAGAATGAGAAACCAAATCTTCAACCAAAATTTCCAAATTTCCATTTTCCCGCCTCATTCTCTAATCCAGTTGGAATGGTATTTCATCCCCGAAGCCACTTTCTGTATGTTTATGGAAATGAGGTATGCAGCCATAATTTTTTTCTTTTGAATAAGAGTAATTAGTTCAACTTCTGTAGGCTGAGGGATTAAGTACATAAAGACCAGGAGTCCTCTACTGATCTGAAGAGTAGAAGGGAAGAAATAACATTTATCAACTGTTTATTCGTGCTAAGCTTATAAAAATGAACCATAGAGCATCATGGTTTGGAATATCGGCAGCTGTAATCCATTTCTTTACAACTCTAGGACCTAGATGTTGCCATTAATCCATCAAAAGTATGTCTTATCTGTTATTTCTGGCTCTTGGCATTGCTGTCTCTCCCTCTGATTTGCTTATGCATTCTGTTCTGTCTCTGCTGCCCTCTGAGCTCTTTCTGGTGATGCTCTCTGTTCTTGGGCCTCTAGTCAGACAGATCTATTGTAAGTAGCCTGAAAGCCTTGTAAAGAGGTATTTTGGCAAAACACCTCTGGTTATCAGCCAAATTAAAAGTAAGGCGCACAAAACATGACATGTGAAGAAATTCAGTTCCAAGAAAGCACTGTGGTGCCTTCCAGTGAACACACTGAATTCACTTTCTTTTTTATTTTATTGTTTTTATTGAGTTATATATTTTTCTCCACTCTCCTCCTCTCCATTCCCCTCCCCTTCAACCCTCTACCACTGTCCCCATGCTCCCAATTTACTCAGGAGATATTGTCTTTTTTTTTTTTTTACTTCCCATGTTCATTAAATCCATGTATGTCTCTCTTAGTGTCCTCATTGTTATCTAGGTTCTCTGGGATTGTGTTTGTGGCCCTGTTTTCTTTGCTTTATGTCTAAAAACCACTTATGAGTGAGTTCATATGATATTTATCTTTCTGAGACTGGATTACCTCACTCAATATGATGCATTCTAGATCCATCCATTTACCTGCAATTTTCAAGATGTCATCATTATTTTTCTGTGGTGTAGTACTTCATTTTGTTAATACACCACATTTTTGTTATCTATTCTTCGGTTGAAGGGCAATATACCTAAAAGTGGTATTGCTGGGTCTTGAGGAAGGTTGTTTCCTAATTTTCTGAGAAACTATTATACTGATATATAATGCATTCCATCAGCAATGCAGGAGTGTTCCCTTTACTCCACAACCTCTCCAGTATAAGGTATCATCCGTGGTTTTGATCTTGGCCATTCTTACAGGTGTAAGTTGATATCTCAGAGTTGTTTTGATTTGCATTCTTCTGATGACTAAGGATGTTGAACATTTCCTTAAGTATCTTTCAGCCATTTTAGATTCTTGTGTTGAGAGTTCTCTGTTTAGGTCTGTATTCCTTTTTTTTATTGGATTATTTGTTCTTTTGATGACCAAATCTTTTAGTTTTTTGTATATTTTGGAGATCAGACCTCTGTCTGTTGTGGGGTTGGTGAAGATCTTTTCCCATTCTGTAGGCTGTCATTTTGTCTTGTTGACCATGTCCTTTGCTTTACAGAAAATTTTCAGTTTGTTTATAATTTTGTTTCTCTCAGTGTCTGTGCTACTGGGGTTATATTTAGGAAGTGGTCTCCTGTGCCAAGGTGTTCAAGTGTACTTCTCACTTTCTTTTCTATGAGGTTCAGTGTGGTTGGTTTCATGTTGAGGTCTTTGATCCATTTGGACTTGAGTTTTGTGCATGGTGATAGATATGGGTCTATTTTCATTCCTTTACATGTTGATATCCAGTTATGCCAGCACCATTTGTTGAATATGCTTTCTTTTTTTCATTTTATAATTTTTATTTCTTTGTCAAAAATCAGGTGTTCATGGGTGTTTAGATTGATATCTGGGTCTTCAATTCAATTCCATTGGTCCTCCTTTCCTCCCATTTTCCTCCCTTTCCCCTCACTCACCTTCCTCCCTCCCCCTCCCTTCTTAAGAGAGGGCAGGGAACCCTGCCCTATGGGAAGTCCAAGCCCCCCCCCCCCCTCACTTCCAGGCCTATGAAGCTTTGCATCCAAATGCACTAGGGACCCAAAAAGCCAGTACATGCAGTTGAAACAAGTCGCAGTGCCGTTATCAATGGCTTCTCCGTCAGCCCCCACTTTCAGCCACATTCTGAGAGTACGGTTTGGTTGCCTGCTCATTTAGTCCCAGTCCAGCTGATTTGGTGAACTCCCATTAGAACAGGCACAATGTCTCAGTGGGTGGACCAACCCCTCGCGGTCCAGACTTCCTTGCTCATCTTCTCCCTCCTTCTGTTCTTCAACTGGACCTTGGGGGCTCAGTCTGTTGCTCTGATGAGGGACTTTGTCTCTATCTCCATCCGTCGCCAGACAAAGATTCTATGGTGATATTCAAGATAATCATCAGTGTGACTATAAGGCAAAGCCAGTTCAGGCACCCTCTACTCTGCTGCCCAAGGACCTAGCTGGGGTTATCCCTGGGTTGGCAAGAGACTTGGCTCTAGAGGGGCTCCTGTCTGTTTTTATGCCTTTGCCAATCTGTTTTCAGTACTAAAGTTCTTTAGGAGAATTTGAAGTCAGTTATTGTAATATCTCCAGAAGTTCCTTTATTGTACAGGATTGTTTTGACTATCCTGGGTATTTTGCTTTTCCATATGAAATTGAATACCATTCTTTTGAGGTCTTTGAAGAATTTTTCTGGGATTTTCATGGGCATTGCAGTTAATCTGTAGATTTCTTTTTGTAAGATTGCCATTTTTACTATGTTAATTCTACCTATACAAGAGCATGGGAGATCTTTCCACTTTCTGGTGTCTTCTTCAATTTCTTTCTTCCAAGATTTAAAGTTCTTGTCATACATGTCTTTTACTTGTTTAGTTAGAGTTACTCCAAGCTATTTTATTCTTTTTGTGGCTATAGTGAAGGGTGATGTTTCTCTGATTTCTTTCTCAGCCCATTTAACATCTGTGTACAGGAGGAATACTGACTTTTTTGAGTTAATCTTGTATCCTGCTACAATACTGAAGGTGCTTATGAGTTGTAGAAGTTTCTTGGTAGAATTTTTGGGATCTCTTATATAAACTATGATGCCATCAGCAAATAGTGAGAGTTTGACTTCTTCTTTTCTGATTTGTATCCCCTTGATTTCCTTTGTTTTCTTATTGCTCTAGCTAGGACTTCAAGAACTATATTGAATAGATATGGAGAGAGTGAACAACTTTATCTTGTTCCTGATTTCAGTGGAATCGCTGGGAGTTTCTCTCCATTTAGTTTTTTGTTTGCTGTTTGCTTGCTGTATATTGCCTTTCTTAGATTTAGGTATGTTCCTTATATCCCTGCTCTCTCCAGGACCTTTATCATAAAGGGTTCTTGTATTTTGTCAAAGACTTTTTCAGCATCTAATGAGATGATCATGTGTTTTTATTTTTCAGTTTGTTTATATGGTAGATTATATTGATAGATTTTTTTTGTATTTTGAACCATCTCTGCATCTCTGGGATGAAGCCGACTTGATCTTGGTGGATGACTTTTATGATATGTTCTTGGATTCGGTTGACAGTATTTTATTGAGTATCTTTGCATCAATGTTCATGAGGGAGATTTCTCATGTCTGTAATTCTCTTTCTTAGTAATGTCTTTATGTAATTGTAGCCTCATAAAAAGAGTTTGGCAATGTTCCTTCTGTTTCTATTTTGTACAATAATTTGAGGAGTATTGGTATTAGTTCTTCTTTCAAAATCTTGTAGAATTCTGAGCTGAAACCATCTGGTCCTGGGATTTTTTTTTTTTAGTTGGAAGATTTTTGATGACTGTTTCTATTTCTTTAGCAGTTATGGGTGTATTTAATTTGCTCATTTGGTCTTGATTTAATTTTGGTAAGTGATATTCATACAGAAAATTGTCCATTTCCTTTATTTTTTCCTATTTTGTGGAGTACAGGTTTGTGTTCACTTTCACAGTGTGATTTTTTCCCCTGGAAACAAAAATTTTGATTACTACAGTTAGTCAAGAAAGAAAACAGTGTTTCTCTGTTAGATTCTGAGATCTACATGACAGGGTACAGTTTTATTTCAAAGATGCAAGCTCTTCAATCATGAACTTCAAAGAATGATTTCTATTTGTATAGATAGTGGCTACAGACTCCAGAGATTCACAGTGTAATCTAGAATTTCTGTTCACATGATGACTGTCTTGGAACATCCGTTGCATATGAATAGCTCTCTCTAGCAATCACACCTATGGGAATACAAGCAGTACCAATCTAAGGTCTCTGAAGACAGTCAGGGAAGCGAAACACAATGGCCCCACCTGCAGTCCCCACAGTCTGGAGGCTGAGATGGATGGAGCGCTGTCTGTCCTAGGCCAGTTTTGGCTTCAGCGTGAGATTCTGTCTCAGAAAAAGAACTCGGGAAACTGCCAAGGCATACTAAATGTTCAGGGTGATTTTTAGCACCTTACCTCATTGTTAATTCATTCTATCTTTCTCCACTTGACCTCACACGTACTTTGTTTCTACTGAATCTGTGCCTCCCAATGTGCATAAACCATCTTTATTTTAACAATGCTTATGATTTCTTGGCTTTCAGTCTATACTGTATACAGAACTGAAGATGGAGAAAGGTGACATCCTGGTATTAGGGCTTCTTGAAACTCCCTTATTTTACTTCCTAAACTAATGGTTTAGAACCTCTAATTTCTTCTGTGGCCATTGACTTTTGTTCCCCACACATCCTGCTGCACACATTCTTTAGGAAATATCTTACACTCCTGAGCTTGTTCTCTTCTCAATCTCCATCCATGTTATTTTCTCTGTGTTGCCCTGACTGTAGTAGAATTCTAAGACTTTAGCTAGCAGTTTGCTCTCATTTTTTGCCAATGTGACTACTTCATAGTTTTCTATTCTAGAATTCCTAGGCTATGGGTAGAAAACAAATTTTGGAAGAGTTTGCTGTTCCTGTCAGATTTGATGGCATGTAAACCAGGAATATTGCCGATAGACTCTATGACTCACATTTTCCATGTGTGTATCTGACCATGGGATTAAACAGCTGTCATTGAAGTGAAAAGGCTTTAGATGATGTTCAATAAAACTCATCT